AGGTTTTAGTTGGGGGCATCAGAGATCTACAACCTATCCTGAAAGATGATCCAGCAAGCAGGTGCTTGGGGCGGCCCCTGGAAGGGGGCAGCACATCCGGCTCTTCGGTGGCAATTCGGAGGCGGGTCCCTCAGTCTGTGTCAGAGGGAAGAACCGGCTTTTTTGCTTGGGGCGGCAAAAACTATGGAGCCAGCCCTGCTCAGAGGGTGCTCCATGGCTAGAATGGAGCTAATTCCCAGAGAAATCTCTTTTTCAGCTCTTTCTGTGTTTGAAAAGTTATAAGGGATCTGTTTCATAGGGGCAGCTACATATGCTTAGTCCTATATAAGTGGATTGTTCAGCCTCACTTGCATATAATCTTGGTAGGTTTTTCTTTTTAATGTCATGGCTAAAAGAATGACATGCAGGTATGAATTTCAATGTTTCCCTAGATACTTTGTCTTTTCTTAGTGACTATGATTCTTTAATAAATCTGAAATCCTATGTCCTCATCAATTAACAAAAAAGTGATTAAACAAATTGGTTTGAAGAAGTAGGTTTATATCTATAGATGGCACACTCGTATTTTCAACAGTTTCCTTGCAAAGCAGCAAACCAGAATCTGAATATACTAGTGGTGAATAGTTTCTTATCAATTGCCTTAGGAACCACAAAAAACCCATACTAATTTCCCCCTACAGTTACTCACACCTTCTTGTCAACTGTCTGAAATGGGCCACTCTCATTACCACTACAAAAGTTTTTTTTCCTCCCTTAGTATCCTGCTGTCAATTAATTGCCTTGTTAAACTGACCTCATACTTGGTAAGGCAACTCCCATCTTTTCATGTATTTATATCTGCTCCTGTATTTTTCACTCCATGCATCTGATGAAGTGGGTTCTAGCCCACAAAAGCTTATGCCCAAATAAATTTGTTAGTCTCTAAGGTGCCACAAGGACTCCTCGTTGTTTTTGCTGATACAGACTAACACAGCTACCACTCTGAAACAAAAAGAATATGAATTTCAGGGAAGGGCAAATTCATCTTTTATGTACTTCTGCTGAAATTGATGGTATTACATAGGGGTGAATTTAGTCCAAGTAGCCCATTGCTGTATCTTTGCACAGGCAAAACTCCATTGTGGGTTTGGGGATGATGGAAAAGAGAACCGAGATATCATGATGATCATGTTTCTTGCATCTGTTGTGGTCTGTCTTTTGATGTTCTCTTCTAATCTGTGCTGTGAGACACTGAGCCTGAAATGAAGCAAAATTAAAGTATTTCATTATGACTAGGGAAAGCCCTTTCACTTACTGTATCAGCATGGACTATTGCTTCTAAAGATCACAAGTGCCAAGAATTATTATGAATACTTGAGGTCGTGTCTGTCAGACTTTGGAATCAGAATGGTACCTTTCATAGCAATGAAAAAAGCTGATGTAATACTTCATACATGTGTATCCTGCTTTTTAGGAATGGGAGAGATACAAACTTAGGGTCTAGTCTTGCAAACAGTTACTACTGGGAGCAGACTCCTCATGGTAGTAGGGCTTACTCACAATAGAAAACAGTTGTAGGATATTGTGCCTTTAAGATATGGGTAAATGAAGCCTGCCGGTGCTAGTTTCTATTATTAATTTTTTTGTTGAAAAAGCTTAATTTGTGACATGAGAAATAGTGAAGTATGTTGCCATCCATTGCAATGCTCACTTTTTATGCCACCACTTTTTAGTTAGTAGATTTTCAGGAGTATTTTGGGGAGACTTTAACGTTGGGCTCAGTCCTGTTCCCACTGAAATTCATGGCAAAACTCCTATTGATTGTTCCCCAGAGCAGAACCGGGTCCATTGTATGATTGTCTAACTTGAAGAATAAGAGAAACCTATGTAAATACACAGCACCTGTAACTCTGATATAAAACAGAGGAAAGCGAGATCAGAATCTGTACCCAGATATAAAGTACCCTTTGCTATAATTAGCAAATAGTAGAAACATGCAGTCACTCTTCTTAAATTGCTACATCAGGACCTGAAATATTGTCTTGAATCTCTCTCTGTGCAGCTGTCTTCAAAAAGAGATATCAGTGATTCTGAAAATGTTTGGATCATATGGTCACCCATGGTCAGAGTTCAGCTTTTTAAAGAAACTTAGGTGGAATTTGTCCTAGAAACTGGGCTAGGAGTTTCATCCATTAGACGATCTTGTGAGGGACGAAGTCGAGGCCGGCTCCAGCTTTTTTGCTGCCCCAAGCGGCGAAGCCAAAAAAAAAAAAAAAAAAAGCTGCGATCGACGGCACTTCGGTGGCAGCTCTACCGCGCCATTTCATTCTTTGGCGGCAATTCGGCAGCAGGTCCTTCCCTCCGAGAGGGAGTGAGGGACCTGCCACCTAATTGCCGCCGAAGACCCGGACGTGCCACCTCTTTCCATTGGCTGCCCTAAGCACCTGCTTCCTTTGCTGGTTTAGAGCAGATTGCACAAGAACAGTGTTTCTGCTTCTGGAGGAAGGATAGTCATGTGATGAATGGACTGGGACTTGGTAGATCTGAGTTGATTCCTTGCTCTTCCAAAGACTTCATGTGCAATCATGGGCAAATCATGTAGGTCCTTATCCTGCAATTCTTGGTGTGTGGGCCAACTGTTGTGTTCACACAGGAGTCCCCTGAAAGTCACTGGGGCTTCATGTAAGTGCAGCAATCCACCTATGCACAATGAATAACAGAACTAGGAGTGTAATCTCTCTACCTTAGTTCCCTGTCTGTAAAATCCAGATAATACTACTTCCTTTGTCTGCTGTGACTACTTAGATTGTAAATTCTTTGGGACCAGGACTGTGTTTTACTAGGTGTATATACACAATACCTAGCCAAAGAAGGCTCAAGTTTTCATGGGGTTCTCTAGGTGTTACTCTAATACAAATAATAATGAAGTAATAAAATAATAAGCTAAAATAGAGAATCCATAAATGTATTAAACTTTTTTTTAAATAAAGGTAATAAAACTTTTCCAAACTGCACAAATATTCTGGTTTGATTCATTTTGATTTTCTTGAGTTGGTTCATTAGATTGAACTGAAGCTAATTTGTTCAATGCTATTTAGAAAATCGCACTAGAGCATGTTTCATTGGGTATCTTTGCTTTCCTGCAAGTATTTCGTAATCTGATTGATGTCAAGTACTATATGGCAAACTCCATCCAACTTTCCTGATTTAGGTTCCCCCTTCCTCCCCCCCGAAAGTACATAATCTGCTCCAAAGCCAATAGCTGGATAGATAAGTAAATGAGTGAATCTTTATTTTTTCCCTGATGCATGCCACCTCTACAGATCTAGTACCAGCTGACAGAGTGATTAGTAGGTTATGCACAGACTTGATTAGCACCAAGAATATTTTAATAGACAAGTCAAAAGCAATCTGGAAATGTTTATTGATAAAAATAATTGGGAAGATAAATTCAAGCATGACTAGGGAGAACATATGAATATCAAAATTATTCTTCATTTAGTCAGTTTTAAATGAGTTCATTCCAAATGCACTTCTGAAACTAATCAGGGCTGAGTAATGCCCAGATCAGGTTTACACACATGACCTACAAATCAACAGACACCTACAATAAGTTTCATCCTACAGTTAGGGGACTGTTATTTGAAAATGCCTGGAGAATGGGAAGTTGGCTGCCTGAAGTAAAGCCTGGTATATAGCTGACAAATTTTTGAGTGCTCCACTGCCTTTGTAGATCTACTCAACTGCATGACAATATAGTTTTGATCTTATTCATTTGCTGTTCAGGCTACTGCTAAATGAACACCAGTCTTACACAACACACTTTCAGAAGTTCCCACAGAAAGTGGACCATTGTGTGTCCAGAAAACCATGCTCTACCCAAGAAAGTGAAAATTTACTTCTCAACCTCTGCTAAGCTCCATGTTAATACCTTTGTTGGATCAGGGGCTGTTTGTTCCCCATTTAGGTATTCTTGCAGGCTGCCAGAGAACAGAATCCACATTTTACAGTCTCTCGCTCCCAGGATCCACCATTAGCCTCCCTCCTGTCCCCAAGAGTGGGCGGGTAGGTTATATGAAAAGTTCCATTGATAGAACTGCTTTCAGTTGCTGTTGCAAACTGCTTTACAGTAATTAATGAAGCTCCACAGCACCCCTGCTTGGTAGGTAAATATTGTTAAGCCCGTTCTACAACTGTGAAAACTGAGAAATGACAAGGTTCAGAGACTTGAGGAAGGTCATTCAAACAGCAAATCAGCAGCAGAACTAATCATACAACACAGCGACTAGAGTTTAAAAAACAGGAGACTAAAATTAAGGGGTTAATTCTGTATTTTGGCACCTAAATAAATGATCTGATTTTCAGAGGTGCTGCTGAGGTGCAACTGCTCCCATTGATTTAAATGGGAGCTGTTGGGCACTCAGCACTTTCGAAAACTCAGGCAGGTGCCTAAATAAGACAGCAACTTTAGCCTCCTGGGCTGGGTTTGGGGGATTTGTGTGCCTCACTCCCCTAGGCTCCTTTGAAAACCCCAACCCTATTTTTTAAACATTCTTGCCTCAGAAGTCCTGTCTCCCTGCCCCTTGTTCTAAGCTTAGGGTGCATTAATGCGCGTGTGATATAGCATAGCTTGTACATAATTTATAAAATTGTTTTGGTCAATGACATTGCTGCCAACTTACCCTTTAAAACAGGTGATATTTAAAAAAATTGGGGCTGATTCTTCTCTCACTTGCATTGGTGTAAATAAGGACTGACTTCACTGAAGTCAATGATGTGATAATGGTGCAAGTGAAAGGAGAATTATGCCAGTTGTTCACAGGAATGTTTTAGTTAAGGCACCCTGAGGAGAAGCTGGGAGGCATTTCACACTCTAACAAATCCTTCATTAACTACAGATCTGGAGGCTGTTAATACTTCAGTAAAATATTTTCAGCTGTTTATCTCAGCAGTATTATTTAATTCTGAAAGGAAAAAAGTTATGGCTTTAGGTAAATATATTGTGATCTCCATCTGAATGCGATTACAAAGCATCTCTAATGGATAAGCTTTCTAGAGGTAAAATAGGAAAGTAAGTAATGACCTATTTAAAACCACTAATCAAAATGAAAAACAACGTGAGTCAAAAGAGAAGAGCACAAGTATTCGTTACATTGTCTGACTTATGAATTGAGTCCATGGATCTATAATTTTTTGCAATATGTCTCATTCAGGCACAGCTCCAGTGGTTCTAAGGACACATCTCTTCCCTCAACACAAGAGCAAACATCAATTCAAACATCCATTGCTGAGGTAGTGGCTGACTATGATTTTTGTGTAGGGGTTCCTCATTTCCATTAACCCTCAGAGAGCTGACAGTTGGCAAGTGACTATCTGGGTTTTCAGGAGCCTGGCTGGAGCCATTTGATGAGCAGTTGAGGAGAGTTTCCTGAAGCAGTGATATTAGACACATTGGATCTCTTGGCAGTATGCCCACCTCTGCACTGTCAGTTATCAATATGACCCACAAGCCGGTGACCAGCAGGGCGGAAAATGGGAGTGCACACCTGGGGCGAGAGAGACAACTGGCTACAAGCCAGAACAGGTGCTGATGGCGACAGGAACAGCAGCATGGGTGAGATGGGAGAGTAACGTGAGTGCATACACTGTGGAGAGGGGCAATTATTGTACAGAATCCTATCCTGGGGTGAAGTCTCAAGCGGCCGAAAGGTGACAGGAAGGTCATTTTAACCAACAAAACCATAAAGCAAAACTCCTGTTGAAAGAAAGCATGGAACCGAACCAAAGAAAAGATGCAAACTGAGTTTAGCCTAAAGGACGAGGACTGATTAGGGTACAGTATTGTTTTAGTAACAGACTACAATGTCCCTAGGCTGAGAGAAAGCGTGAAAATATGGGCCATTGGAAATTATTTATGAGTTGTTAAGTTGGACATAGCTCTTCGGGGAGCACATGGCAACTTCCTTAGAGTGAGGCAGGGAGCTGTGAGCATGGCAGGGCACATTCGTCAGCTTCATCTGGAGCTCAAGCTGTTGGCTTTGACCTATAAAGCCCTAAGGGTGACATTTTTTAAAGCACATTTTTTAAAGACTTAGCAGCCTAAGCCCCATTCTCAAAAGTGACTTAGGCAGTTAGGACTGGGCAACTTAAGACACTTCAGTGCTTTTTAAATGTTTACCCCCAAATGTAAATCACAAGTGAGGCAAGGCAAAGGAGCATCTGGGTATGTCTACATGGCAAAAAAAAAAAAAAAAAAA